CCCCCCCCGCACGGAAACACCCACGTGCATATCGTACGGAACGCTGAACGTAACGCGCATTCTCACGCCATAGCTATCTCTCTCCTCCAACAAGTGAGCAACATGCATGGGCAAGGTACCGGCCGAACTTGACGTACCCTGTGGGCACACGTGAAGAATCCGCGCCATCGACAAACAAAAGCAATCGCCAATCACAGCCACCCTGACTAGCACGGGCACCAAGGAACCTTCAAGTACCTAGGCAACCGATGAAGAAGCGGGTGATCCCCCACCGCCCTGTCCCGCATAACAAATGGCAGTCTAAAAGATCAGGAGAAGAGACAAGAAAGCGAGGCCAGTCATGGCTTTCTTCCTCGTTCCACGCCACTGTGGCTGTTGTTTCCCCCCCCTTCAAACGGCAAAAACGTGTTAAAATCAGTGAGCAAAACAGTTTGCTTCTTCGTCTGGCCAACGTCATCGGCGAAAAAGCAAAAACTAAAAAAAGGACGGGGGACGTCCGACCGACGGTAGGGGGGGGCGGGGGGGGGACACGCAGCATTAAAATGATTACTTAACTTAATTGGGAACTGCCGCCCCACCTCCCCCACCGCTCTTGCACGGACAGGGTTGAGCCAAAACCAACAACCGCACGCACATATAGCGCTGTGTGAGCAAAGAAAAACAGGCGCCCCGAAAAAGGGAAAAAACGACAAATGTGCCCCGAGTTGTGTGCGCCATTCGTTGCGTCGTCAGCAGCGGGTGATTTGACGCGTACCGTACGGAGAGAGACAAGAGAGAGAGCCATGAGAGACGGCGTGGAATTACCAACGAGTGCAAGCCAAAAAAACGAACGTGCCCCAACATCCATGGCCAAAAAACGAACCCTCACAAGCACAACTCGCGGTAAATGATCACCCTAGTGCATACGCCCATGTGGAACGCCCCCCTAGTCCTGCGGGAACAACCCTCCGTCTTCTCGAGGACGCCTGGTAAACGGTCCAACAACTAAGGCATGCAACACACAAGAGTACGCCCCCCCCCCCCCCCCCCCCCCCCCCC